CAATCGAGCTTAAATAATTATGTTGAAACTAAACTAAAAGAGATATGTGTTCACTTAAAAAGTGCGTTGTGAGTTCAGAGGAAACAAAATACAAAGTACATACTGTTATGTTTCTGTGGCGCTTCGGAAAAGGCATGCCCAACAGTGTTTTAGAGGCAAACGCAACCGAATGAACGTAGTATTTGCAAAGACAAGAATTGCATCTGTTAAGAACTTGACAGTCCTTTAGTTGGAGCTTCTGGCAATTGTGATCGGACAAAATTGCCTTAAATTTGTTAGAGAACAATTAAGAGTGCCTTTTGAGAAACAATATTCATATATAGCTTCACAATGTGTTTTATGTCGAAAAGGGATGTTGCATTTGTTTGTAAGAAACAGAGTCATTGAAATCAAAAGACACACTGACGTGAACATGACATATATACAACTAAAGACAACTAAGCAGAAGCAGACCGAACGTTGAGTGTATTATTACTATTATACTGCAAAACTGCTTCCGAGGCACCTTGGAAGTTGCGAAAATTGAGAAGGTATGTGAAAGATATGTGATGTGATGGAGAGTTCCTCGGGGTGTTGAAAGCTAGTCTAGGTAAACCGATAATTACTTTCCGATTTAGGGGAAAAGGTTTACAAGAAGTTTAAGTTAAAAGATCTTACCAAATAATAACTTCTGTTTTGATTCATCCGGTGTTCCCATGCCTGAATATCTATATACCTTACGTAAATATATATAATAAAATATAAAGATAATACTGGATTATTATGTGGATACTTCTGTTTATTTACTATTTACATGTTACAAAAACAACATATCAATGCACGATATTTATGTAATACTGAAAGAAGATATTACTAAACAAAATGTAGCAACCATGATAAATTATTTGACAAGTTACTTTGAAATAATGCATAAATAACAATGATGAAAGAAGAAAAATAGGTTAGACTATTTTGTAGCTTTAAGATTTTAACATTTTCAAGGACTTGTCCTAGATAGATTTCTTGAGAAAGAGTTATAGTATGTAAGGAATGATATTGCTATTTTTGAGCTTTGAAAATTTGAAAATTGCGGTTTACAGTCTGCATTTTTTAGTTTGGACAAAGGTTAACCAGTGGTTAAGACCGATAATTACTTTACAACAAACAAGATATGATAATATAACGAGTTTAACTGATTAACACATGTATGGTATTATTATGTAGTTTTTTTACGTTAACGTACTTTCTACTCGTTTTCATTTATGAAAGATTTAAAAAGCTATGACATAAGTAAAATTTAAGTAAGAGAAAACATTACCTAAAAACAAATTATGATATGATTTCATATTATTATGTAACGATGTGAAATGAACGTATGTGCAATTTATGAACATGTATGTCATAAAGGTGTAATACATAAATAAAAGAAAAGCCGATAAACGGGCATTTGCCCGCCAAGACATACGCCCACTCTATAAATGAATCAAGGGACATTTGCCCCCCCCCCCATCCGCCAAGTGGAAATGTACAGGTACACTTTTTCCCTTCCCTTTCCTATTGTATATCAAATGCACTCTTAAGCTAATGCTCGAAGTATTATGTATTTATTTCAATAATAATACTTTTGTATTTTTATTGGAACATATCTTAAGACTACATTTGACATACTTTTCGTTTCCACTTTGGGCAAATGTCTAATGATGCATTTTTTAGTGTAAAAGGTAAGTGTCATTGGGGATTTGTTAGAACAAACATGGGCATACTGTACACATTGTCAAATCGATTTAAGAAATATTACAATGTATGCTTACGGCAGTCAATAATACACAAATCAAATAGTATTGACTCAGAAAGTCGAATTATGTTAATTTAATGGTAATCAATCTTCTTGCAAAGGCATTCATGCAACACTATAGAACTTATTAAATCGAGGTCCGTTGTAATGCAAGACTGACTGCGTGAAATATTTTCTCGCAAATGTGCAATCTGCGTACGACAGATGACTCACGCCTTACCGATATTCATAGATACTGCTGTGTATGTTAACGGTACAAAATATTTAAAAAACATTTAAAAGTAAAAAAAAACATGGTGGTCGAATTTTGCCATACAATGCATTGAGGACTATCTACTACTTGTTTCTTGAAATATTTTAAATCAACCAATGATAAATTTCAGAGATTTATATAAAATATCCCCATATTGCCAGTTTTCAATCAATTTTCAATCATCCCATAATATTTGCCATGTAACCGAACTGCATGCGCATTTTGTTTTTACTTCTTGAAATGAGTATTAGATATCGATATCAATTATAGAGATAAGAGAGCAAAAATCATTACTTTTATCCAAAATAAGTAAAATAGTTTTCTACTAATCCTCAATTTTCCCAGTTAAAAAATACAGTCATTTTTTTAAAAAAAATATTATTTACAGACTGCCATAATGGACTTTTCAGTCTAGAAAGCAGGTTTGCTATCATGAAGAAATGAAGTACTAGCATATTTTAAAATAAAAATACATGCTTCTAATATGCACATACTTTACTGTACCATAATAATAAGTAGAACTTTATAAGTAGGTAAAATTAAAGTAACCTAACTTTAATGTATCATTCTCTCGGATAATTTTTCAAGAAGTTGTAACTAATAGTGGGTTATATTGACAAAAATCCCAAAGAATTTCTTTAGAGTATGTTTTTAATGTAAAATGAGCTGTCCATCTATGCTCCTATTACGATAGCTTCAATTCTGCAAATGAATATCTATTTTACTAACTCTCGAGGAGTTAAAACATTGTAGCAAATAACACACGTTAATCTAAATTTTCGTAAGACATTTCATGATCAAAGTGAATACACGCTATATTTTTTCACTTGACATTTAATTCCAAGATATTCAATTTCAGATTTGTATTGTATGTATTTTATTGTATTCAGATTATCCTTAATTACTTTATATGTCATACCATGGTACAAATTGCCTTGAATGAATGATATTGTAAACTTGTTATAAAAGAAACCCCTTGCTACTGTCAGAAACTTATCGCTTACTATTTAATTTTTCAAAAAAAAGCGTACTTTTTAAATTGTTATATATTTTAATTCAATTGTAATAAACCTTTTCCCAATTTAAAAAAAGTCGTCTGATGACATTTCCCAAACACGGGGGTTTGTGAATGTATATTTGTTTTCTTTTCAGAAAAAGTCCACCCTTAATTTCTGCTATATGTTTTTTTCATCAGTTTTGGGGTTTCTTGACGTAAATTTTTACCCCTTTACTCCCATTTTTCGGGGACGACATAAATTGAAATCAAATAACCCCTTTGTTTTTGAGAGTAAAAAATTTGTTATATGACCCATTAAACTTTCCCCGACATCTATTTTTTTGGTTTTTAAAGGGCCTTTAATTTTAAACCCCACCCAAACCCCTTAAAACCTTTTCCCAATTTTTTTTAGAAATATGCCAGATTAATATTTTAAAGCACATTTTTAAAAAAAATAAAAAGAAAAGGGGGACCTCTTTCAAAATGAAAAAAGGTTTCTATAAAAAATTAAAAATTTTGACATCATATGAAAACTTTAAAAATATATAAATTCAAAAGCCTTTGCTAAGGTTAATTTTTTAAATTTAAAGGAAAAAATTTGGGTTTGTTTTTTTTATTTTGTGTTTAAATCGAATAAATTCTTTATTTGCTTTAGGGTTTGCACCCATCACTTCGGGAAAAAGGATGGGCCCTTTTTTTTAGAAAAGCCCACTTAAACCCATACTCTGTCAATGCCTATAAAAGGTTTCCAAAAGAATTATATTTTTTGTACCATTTGAGCATCTTTGGGAATTTTTAAAGGCCCGGCATAGAAAGCCCGTTTTTAAATTAACAATTTCTCTGAAATTTTAAAATTTCTAATTATTACATGCAAATTTAAACAATAAAACAAAAAAAAAAAAGGTGGGGGCAAGGTTTCAAAATCCGATCTTAAAAACCCCTTTTACAAAAAAGCACAGTTGTTCTTACTTTTACTGAAAATTTAGAAAACTTTGAAATAATTTGCCCTTATTGACATTTTTAAAATTTTTTAAACCCTGAAAATTTAATCTTTTCCAATTTAAAACCCCCATATTCCAAAAATTAAGTTGAATAAATTCTATAATAATCATTTTCTTTTAATTTACTATCATTGGCAAAAGAAACCCTTTAAAATTATTAGTATTTCCTAAATGCAATTTTTCACTTGCGAAAACTTCTTAGGGGTTTCATTGGTTCACCCGGTTTCAAGAACCCATTTTAAATCAAAAAAAACACGAATAAAACCATAATTTGATATGTGTCAAAATAAATTTAAAGGATTCGTAACCCCCTCCCCAAGATTGTCATTTGGGATAAATTTCGGAATCTGGAGATGTATGCCCAGTGATTTAAGTTATGCAAACCTTCCTAGACGCCATTTGTTGCCATTGATATCTATTTGACTTTACCTTTAAGCTAAAGTACAGGTTCGTGTAAGCGACAAATCGTATTGTAATGGTTAACAATTAAAACTAATTTTGAAATCCTGCAAGGAATAACAAAGTTAGAGACCGAACATTACTTTGTCCTTTTACCTCTATGTCTGGTGCGAGGTTTTGTTCCATATAGAAATTAAGTTCAAAGAAAACCGATATCACAATGGCAAATATATTACCTGCCCAATACTTCGGATGAACTTATGATTGTTTAAGGACTTATTGCGAATTTTATGCTATTTTCTTTTTGTTAAGAAAATGACAATGGCTCAATATATATACATACAGATTGCCTCTTAACCTAGTCTAATTGATAGACGGACAGAGCGATTTCGATATGCTATTATTCTCGACATAAGAATGAACAAAAAAATCAGAAGAAACTCGTTTTATTAGGAGAAAGCTTTCGATTACAGCTTTTTCTATTTTTAAAACACCAACTTTAAACATCATATGTTTGGTTTTAAAAAGTATTTTAAACGAATAATTGATTAAACAAATAAGAAGAAACAAACATACCTTTGATGGTGTCGGAATGTCTTGTTCCGCCTTTTTGGCATGCACATTTCGCTTTTCTGTAATGAATGCAATTACATAAATGCCATGTTTTCAATTAATTATGTAGAGTGAATTTATTGGTAAAAGAATGTTAAAAATTTACACATGTGGAATATAATGATGAAGTCATGACATTAGAATTAAATTGTCTTTTGATATTTATTGAAAAGATGATACTGTCAAATTGATATAAGTCATCTTCATTAACGTTTTAGTTTTATATCTGAGCATGATTAAAGGCGTAGTAGCATGTGTTGCTTTGCTTGAGTGAGTGCTTTAGAATCAATGTCATTATTATGTTTTCTGTAAATATACATGTACATATTTCAGATGAAATTGTTTTTAACAAATTATGCAAATTTTAACGATAAATTATTTACACAGACAATTAACTAATGGTGTGAAAATGATATCTTGCAGGAACAAATACCAACAGTCATGTTCGAAGAAGTAATATTTGTGGAATATTAAGGAATAATTTCATTCAATGTGTACTTCTTTTCTTGTTTAATTTGTGTCACATAGTTATATACGTATCGGAAATAGCTTGTCTTTGACTTTTAATCTTTACGAAATCGGGAAATGAGCTTATGCTTGACTTGCTAAATATTCCATTGTTTTAAAGTTTTACACGATCATGTTTAAAAATCACGACATGAGATGATGTATAATTATTACTTGTTTATCATATAGTAGTAATGGTATTTATAAAATGAAAATAAAAGAAATAATGTAACGTGTTAGGGCTAGATGCTATATATATAATTTTTCTTATGGCTACTTTGCCAGTTGATTGGTTTCAAATGATTATAAAATGATTTCTTCAAACTTTGGAATCAAGTTTAATTAACTAATGTTATAACAGTAACGTGCTTGAAAGATAATAAGTTTTCCTTGAACTTGATATAAAATTGGGGTGACACTTTTTATACTATTTAATATATAGAAAAAACACTTGGATATCGAGTTTTAAATAATAACAATTACACCTAACACAATGTTAAATGGATGCAATTGATATACTTCGTAGATAGTGCAAGAATCCAAGTAATTAAACTAATTTAAAAATATTAATTAATTATTTCTGTGGTGTTGACACTTCGGCAGCTGGACAGAGACTGATTGTCCGTAGCTTGGAGCTCTATTCATACCCAATAATGTAGTTATATTTAATGATCGTTTACTGAAGTTTAAGAAATCAAGCATTCAAGAGAATCAAGCATTCAAGAGATATTGATAATGGGTCAAATTTTGGTACGAATGACATTGAGTTCAATTGATTTAAAGGACGAACTGTTCTGATATTTTAGAAATAATAAAGATATGCCCGTTATATCAAATAATTGCTACGAGTAAGTTGTTAAATCTAATCATTTAATTTTTATGTATTTATTACTTATTTATAAAAGATTAATCTATACATTTAAACACAAGATAACATATTTGTTTACAATTTAACTTATCTGCAATTTAGGTATAAAACCACTAAATATCACTATAGAATCTAGGCAGAATAGAACAATCGTCACAATATAATAAATAAAAAACGAAAGAAATAATTGTGCGGCCATTTTTACTCTTGAAGCGTGGTCTGTTTTTTGTTTACACAGGGTCTGCTTAGTTTTGAGATTAGGTTGATGCAGAATATACAGGTTTTTTATACCATTCGAAAGACGAACGTTATTTAAGTGTTTTTCAATTTTTTCTGAACACAACATCTCTATAATTCTTGGATGTGACTACACTGCCTGTAAAATACAAGACAACAGTTCAACGGGTATTAAAAAACGTACAATACTTTTTTGACACTTGTCAATAGCGTTGAAATGCATGACCGACGAACTATTTTGATGGCCTGAAACCTTTACACTTGCAAACTTGTGTGAAACAGTGAACCCAGTTTTCATTAACAGTCACAATATTGTAAACTAGAAATGTGTCGTCACGCCACGGATGCCCCCGCATGCAGCCAAAATTTCAGATGTTATAATATTAAATTCCAAATTTTTGCACAAACTATTTATTTTTCATGTTAAGTTCAAACCCCTAAAGATTATTCAATGTAAACACAAACCATTTTTAAACAAAATTTAAGGCACTGAAACTATTCAGTGTTAGCCTTTTGTAAATTGCATATTTTTAGCCAAAATAATGGCTACATACATTTCCATTAAAGTACGAGTGCTGAAACTGAAAATTCTTAATTTTTCCAACATTCAAGAGAGACAACTTTGTCCAAAATCATTGAACCATAGCCAAATTCAAACTTAAACTGCTAATTCCTAATATGTATCTATGTGTAAAATTTGAGTTGATAGTGTACAACCATTGGGGAGATAATGAACGAAATCTAAAAATTTCTGTACTTTTTTCAAAGTTTAAGAGAGATAACTCTGTCAGCTATCATCAAACCATGACCTAATTCGACGTTGACCAGTGTTTTCTTATGACATATCCATATGTTAAATTTGAGTTGAATATGTGCAACGGTTGGGGAGATAATGAACGGAAACTGAAAATTTCTTTTTTTCCAAAGTAAAAGGGGCATTACTCCACCAAAGTTATTGAGCCATGACGAAATTCGAACTTGAACTGCTTTTTCCTACGATGTATCTATATGTCAACTTTGAGTTGAATGTGTAACACCGTTGGGAAGATAATGAACGGAATCTGAAAATTTCCTATTATTTTCAAAGTGAAAGGGGCATCACTCTGCCCACAATCATCGAACCATATTTAAATTCAAACTTGACCTGCGCATTCATTTGCCGTATTCATAAGTTACATTTGAGTTGAATGTGTGATACCGTTGGAGAGATAATGAAAGGAAACTGAAAATTTAATGAAGGAGAATAACTCTGTCAAAAATCATCAGACCATGACCAAATTCGAACTTGAACTGTATTTTCTCATGATATATCCATATGTCAAATTTGAGTTGATTGTTTGCAACCGTTAGTAAGATAATGAACGGAAACTGATGATAACGGAATGACGGAAGGACGGAACAGGGTAACACTTTATGCCCCAGCTATTTTAAGCAAACATTTTCAGTATTTTTCGAGCGCATTTAACACGCTCCTTCTGGTATTATGTTATAAAATGGGGTATCCATCTGGCAATTTTTTGCCTAACTTTTAATTTATTCTTTAGAAATGTATGAGTTAACCCTTTTGATATACCTGTGATATGAAGTACTGGGTTAGTGAAATTCTTTCATTTTTTTGAATGTTAAGTTTGACTTGTATTTTGAAATTTAATAAAATAAATTCTTAATCGGTACCCTAAATACATGACTTTGGTATCAGTTGAAAGCAGATACTTTGAAGCACACACACAAGTATAATGAGCTCAATTAGAAAATATTCTGATATTGCATTACATATTGACTCACCCTCGTATTAAAATTAAAACAATGAAAATCCTTATGCTGACCTTTTTTGTCATGCATTGTCTTCTTTTTGACAACTGCGTAAACATCTCCCGCTTCAGGTGCCTTCTTTTTCTTCACTGGCTGCGCGTATGTGTTATCTGGCATGTCATCGGCCGAAACATACATAGGGTTCACCGTGTTCACTGGGTTAATAATTCAACAAATCAGAAATATGTGAAAATATATATTATACAATATGAATGATCTGTTTATGACTAAGAAAATTAGACAACAACATATGCAAACATTTATATTCGAATGTGTATTGTTATGTATTTGGGGATGCAGTTAATTGAGAACATGTCCATTTTCATAAAAATAAATAAATAAATAAAATCGGATTTTACAGGTTTAAAATAAATATTTAACAGAATTTAAGCTTTCAATAGTTTTGATTACGCTCGTTATTTTATTGGGTATGTTTAGATTTTGCAATCATTTCCCGGTATGAATCGGTAACAATACAAAAATGCCCGTTACCGATGTACGTTGTCGAGTTTACCCGTACAATATCTTGAACACTGGTCTGTACACTTTTAAAGAAATTTATTTCGTCGAACAGAGTTTCTATCATGAGTTTCGAATAACTGGAAATGCTTATAAATATGTGTTATGTCCTCCTTAATTGAGGATATTTGATTGCCGTGAATTTATTTATCAAAATTACAACTTTTGGTTTATTATTGACGATCTATTTGTTCTTTTGTTCATTTTTTAAACAAGAAAAATAAATGATTAGTCTACCAACAGAAATACCTAAAGCCAGACCTACACAAAACACGGTTTGGCACATGGTTCCCATACGGTATACTCGGTTTAACACGGATTGACTAGTACGAGTATTTAGCTCCAACCGTGCCTGGGGATTAGTTGGCACGAGTTAGACTCGAATGTAGCACGAGCATGTACGAATAAAGGACGGATATACTCGGTCAAGCAAGGTTTGAACATGATTTGCATACGAAAACATACGATTGTTGCACGGTTCCAAGTACGGTCTAGTACGGCATGGCACGAGTCAACACGACTTTTACTCGATTAAATCGACTTTCAATGGGTTTACATAGGGTCCCGCCAACTTTTGTTCGAGTTATGCTCGAATAATCACCTATTTGTGTATGTTTTGATGTAAATTGACCCATTCTGATGGCTTGGCTTAAATTTTTGAACTTTCAACGAAAAACACCTACATATGTGAAAATTGGTTATATTAAACAATGCCAGATGCAACAGATGTCAGAATAAGGGAATTAGAAATCATGATAAGTCTGGCAGACATTGCTGTGTCTCCCTGCTCATCAGACTCGGCAGGAGCAGAGGGTTGAGTGGTTGGCGTGCCTGGGTTGCCCTTCTTGCATTCCTTCTGTGCATGGGAATTTTCTTCTTTGGATACATTCTAGTATGATGCAGCAAGTACTCAGGGTAGATCTAGCAAGTGAGCATGGAAGCAGGTTGAATGGCCCGAGTATAACTCGGTTAAACTCACGGTGCAACAGATGTCAGAATAAGGGAATTAGAAATCATGATAAGTCTGGCAGACATTGGTGTGTCTCCCTGCTCATCAGACTCGGCAGGGGCAGACGGGTGAGTGGTCGGCGGGCCTCGGTTGCCCTTCTTGCATTCCTTCTGTGCAGGGGAATTTTCTTATTTGGATACATTCTAGTATGATGCAGCAAGTATTCAGGGTAGATCTAGCAAGTGAGCATGGAAGCAGGTTGAATGGCCCGAGTATAACTCGGTTAAACTCACGGTTAGTTCGGTTGTATGTACAGTTTACACGGGTGGCCAACCGTAGAAGCCGTGTGTTCAGTGTGAGATTGGCTTAACAATGCAGATGATTAAGCTTAAGCCCATCTCATACAGAACACACGGCTTATACGGTTGGCCACTCGTGTCAACCGTACATACAACCGAATACACCGTTGCGCTATCCGAGTTACACTCGGGCCATTCGAGTGTATCCATTTAAGCCGTGTATGATTTTTAAAGCTTTTAAAAAACTGGTATAGATGTCATGTCCGTGTATAATCGTATAAGCGACCGTACAAGACCGTAAGAGCCCGTGTGAGACCGTATGATACCGTATATGCAACCGTATAAGAAGCCTGCTCCACGATTGAGTCCAACCGTATCAATATCGTATATAAATCGTATGGAATCGTTCGAGACCGTCCCAAACATCCTACATCCAACACCTGATTGATCCCCGAATGTCACAAGATCACAGTACGATTCACACGAGTGCCCATACGGTTTCAAACGATCGCAATACGAGCAATACGGTTCATGTACGAATCATACATACAGACACGGTATCGTACGGGTATACACGGTCTCACACGGCCTCGTATATAGGTTTATAACGCGGCCTCTACGTCAGCTCGAACTGTACAACGAAAACCACAACTACCTGCTTCCACCCTCAACTGCTAGATTTACCCTGAGTACTTGCTGCATCACACAAGAACATTAGAACCAAAAGAAAAAGGTTCCCACGCAAAGAAAGAATGCAAAAAGACAATCCAGGCCCGCCAACCACTCCATCCTGCTCACCCTGTCGAGCCTAATGAGCTTGTGGACCCAACAATGACTATCTGTCTTATTATGATTTCTCATTCCCTTATCATGTCATTTGTTGCATCTGGCATTGTTTTATATAACGATTTGTCACATATATAGGTGTTTCTTCGAGGAAAGTATAAAAATTTATAAAGCAAGTCATCAAACTTGGTCAATTTATATCAAAACATACACGTATGAGTGAAAATTCGAGCATAACTCAAACAAAACTCGGCGGGATCCTATGTAAACCATGTGAAAGTCAAGTTAATTGAGTAAAAATTGTGATTTATCGTATCAGGCCGTACTAGACCGTACTTGGAACCGCACAAGAATCGTATGTATCCATATGCAAATCGAGTTTAAACCTTGTTTGACCCAGTATGTTCGTGCTTTATTCGTACATACTCGTGCTACATTCGATTCTAACTCGTACCAACTAATCCAAAGGCACGGTTGGAGCAAAATACTCGTACCAGTCAATCCGTTTTAAACCGAGTATACCGTATGGGAACCGTGTGCCAAACCGTGTTCTGTGTGAGACGGGCTTTAAAAATGAAGGCTTTTGGAAGAGAAGTTACTTTTTTCAAGACTCGAATTAGAAAATTATATTAATCACTGTTTAAATATTTACAAGTTGCAATTTCCAATATATGTCTGAATTTACAACTAGCCCATTAATAGCATACTTACAGTACATTTTTATATACGTAGTTATCTTGGATGGCTCTTAAGAGCTCACAATTGGATAGATTTATTATATCAATTATATCATTGACAAAAGTTTTGCTTCTATAAAAATATTAAAATTTTGTAGAAAGCTAGCACAAGCCTGGATTAAGAAAAAATGAAATATGTCAGACAATTTATCACATGGAATAAAAATTGTTGCTTATATTTTTGTATAATGTTAATTATCCTCATATCTCCCTTGATTAATAGATATACGACCTTTGCCTTGTAGTTTTTTCCTGTAACTTATAAAAAGAAAATATCATGTGGACATTTTTTAAGCAGTACATAACAGTATTCTGTGTTGAAAACCAGACAGTAATTCGCTTTACAATAACCATAGCCCTCGATGAAAGTGTAACATTTCCATTGAATAAGTCGTCAGTACTTTAGGTAAAAAATAGCGGTTGGTTAAATATACAAAAAAGCGGTAACAAAGGGCCATGTTACCTGTCAAAACTCTTTATAAGTAATAATATACATATTGATACCAACATACTAAACAAAATTCCGGAGCTAGTTTATATTTACCTTCAGATTCTTCATCATTTTTATCTTTGTTGAGACCATCATTTCTTGAACTGTTAAAAAAAGTGAAAACTAAAAGGGGTTTTTGTCTCCCAAAACAAGGAATAGTACCGATTAGTCCTGTGAATTTTGGTCAAAATCCCGCAAGCAATTTGGCTGGACAAGATTTTTCCATTTTTAGCTCTGCCAGTCATTTTGTTCAGCGAAGAAGAACTTGCCGGTCATATGCACAACAAGGAATGGTATTGATCACTCCTGTGTGGTTTCATTGAAATCCCACATGCAGTTCAACATGTGAAAGCCGGATAATATTTTTCTATTAATATCTCTGGTGGCCATATTTTGGAACAGTGGAGAACGTGCCGGTGATATGCACAACTAGGGAAGGTACTGATCACTTCTGTTTGACATGTTAAAGCCGGGTAAGGTTTTACTTTTTAAAGCTCTGGTGGCCATTTTAGTACAGCCAAGCGGAACGTGTGGGCGATATGCACAACTGGGGATGGTACTGATCACTCCTGTTAAGTTTTATTGAACTCCCGCCAGCAGTTTGACTTGTGAAAGCCAGACAAGATTTGTCTATTTATAGCTCTGGCAGCCTCTTTGTGCAGCGAAGCCGAACTTGCCGGAAATACGCACAACTAAGGATGAAACTGATCACTCATGTGAAGTTCATAAAATTCCGACAGCAGTTTGACCTGTAAAAGCCGGACATGTTTTTTTTTAATTTATAGCTCTAGTAGCCATTGAGTGCAGCGATTAGGAACGTGCCGGCGATATGCACAACTAAGTATGGTACCTTCTGTGAAGGTTCATTGAATTCTGGCCAGCAGTTGGACCTGTGGAAGCCGGACAAATTGAATGCGGACGGACAAACAGACTGAGGGACGGATATACAGACAGACAGACAGACAGACGGCGAAGGCAAAAACAATATGTCAGAGACATTATGCCGTAAGCATATCAATTCAAAAAGAAATTTAATCAATCAATCAATCAACCAATCTACCTGCCTGCCTGCCAATCAATCAATCAATCAATATTTTCCATCTTTGAAACGTTTTTATGTGTTGCTCAATTTCATTTAAATACTGTCTTACATTAATGTAGAGCATAGTGCTCCGTTTGTTCTTTTGTTTTCATAGTTTCGTTGAAATAGCTTAAAGCGGACTTTGTGTTGAAGGTCACATGAGGTATGATCAAAAAGTTCTCGGCCCGATATACTTCTAGCAACTTCACTGACATTTACACACGATACGTCTGTACCGATACCTCATTGAAGATTACTGACCGAGTTACATGTAGTTTTACACAGATTAAGTAACATAAAACACACTTTGATAAGTAGAGGGGTGTGTCATTTAAATCAAAAATGGAGAAAGTTGAAATCAGAGCCGTCATCAAGTACCTTTGTAAGAAAGGGATGTCCCCCAAGGAAATCGATGAAGACTTCATGGATACACTTGGGAATGAGTCCCCTTCCTGTAGCACTGTGAAAAGATGGGCTGCTGAATTTAATAGGGAAGGAAGAGCATTGTTGATGAGCAGCCTGGGCGGCCAAAAGTGGCCACCAACGAAGAAACTGCCGAAGCTGTGCACGATCTAGTCATGTGCGACAGAAGGCGAGACCTACGAAGCATTGCTAAGGAAGTGGTTATAAGCTTTGGTTCAGTTCAGATAATTCTGACTGATGTCTATTGCTTGTCAAAGGTTTCCACTAGATGGGTCCCCAGACAGTTGACTGACGACCAGAAACGGACCAGGCTTGAATGACAATGTAAGATATCTTTTCTCTCACTACGAGGATGAACCTGATTTTATCTACCGGATCGTAACTCAGGATGAAACACGTATCCATCACTTCGATCCAGAATCCAAAAACTGAGCATGCAGTGGAAGCATCCTCGCTTCATTTTTTTTTGAATAGTCAAGGGGAAATCATGATTGACTATCTTGAGCAAGGTTGTACCATAAACGATACGTACTGTGCAGACAAATTGAGACGTCTGCGTCAAAAAATCGCGCGTTAAAGGAGGGGCAAACTGACTGGAGGCGTTCTGCTCCTGCATGATAATTCGCCAACTCACAAATCCCAAGTTGCGATGGCTGCTGCTATTGACTGCGGCTTTGAAATTCTTCCCCAACCCCCATATTCTCCGGAATTAGCCCCCTCTGACTTCTACCTGTTTCCGAAACTGAAAACCAAGCTTCGTGGTAGACGCTTTAGAAGCAATGAAGGTGTCATAGAGGCGGTCGATGAGTTCTTTGAGGAACAAAATAGAGAGGTCTATTTTGAAGGGTTAAACAAGTTAAAGCACAGGTGGGCAAAGTGCATTGATGTTGAGGGCGATTATATTGAAAAGTAAGACAATTAGTGCGGTTCTCTGATTACCGGAAGTACATCGGGCCGAGAACCTTTTGATTAATACTCATATTGCTAGGTTGTTAATTATGATGAATCGCTTCATGCTTGAGCAAAATGGTCTTAAGAACAATGCCATTAAGAAAATCAAATTCAATCCGACCTTTACTCTTAAATAACCTTGACCTTGAAGGTCAAATTATCATGATTGTTTTGCTATAGTTGGCTGTAACTATGTAAGTAATTAATGCTTTTTGTTCTTTATTTATGCACGACAATCTTTCGGACAAAACTTTAAAGAAGATTTAATTGTACTTGACCTTGATCTAAAGGTTAGATTATTGAATTTTGCTTTAATTGTCATTAAACATTACTCTGACGGATTTTGCCCCCCCCGTCACCAAAAAAATGGACAAAAAAAAGATAGGAATTGAAGAGAAAAAGTGTTCAGAAATACACTTTTATTATAGTAAAACAGCTTTTACATAAATGATGAACTATTCCGTATTTTATTTTGATAATTTTGCAAAGATTCGATACCAGGCTTATTACTAAATGATTGTTTTCCCAATTAAAAATATTAGCCCTTTCTATAGTTACCTGTACATATTTCTTCTAAAAATTATACAATTTGGAGGACATTATAAAAATATACAACGAACACTTATACACTGTAATTTGCACTTACTCATAAAACTAAATATTAAGATATAGTATATTACATGTAATCAAGTATCATTTTTGTTAAGAAAATACCGTACGAATCATAAGCCGTACACATGAAAAACATGCCACTAATAGTAAACAAGAGCACCGCTAGGCGGAGCATTATATGCCCGAAAGTGATCTTTTTAGTAAGGATGAAGCATTTGTAAGACATGGGAATTAAATAATTTTATTACAACGGATGGACAAAGACACCAGGGATATATAACATAATATAAACAAATCTTTTAGGGCATATAATTAATGTACTCAATATAAGTTGTAGGTTGATTAATACTTAAGGCATTGAGCGAAAACCGTTTTCAGTGACCTTGACCTTGTGGCCCCAAAATCAATAGGGGTCTTCCATCAATATTGACAATCATCCTATGAAGTTTGAACACTGTGGGCCAAATGGAACTTAAGTTGTGCTCCAGAAACCACAATTTTCAGTGAAAAGATCATTGTGCCCCGACCTTTGACCCCAAAATCAATAGGGGTCTTCTATCCAATATGGACAATCATCCTATGAAGTTTAAATATTGTTGGCCAAATTGGACATAAGTTATGCTTCAGAAACTGTTTTCAGTTTTAAGGCAATAGTGACCTTTGACCTTGTGACCCCAAAATCAATAGGGGTCATCTACTCAATATGGACAATCATCCTAGGTAGTAAGAATATTGTGGGCCAAATGGAACATAAGTTGTGCTCGGGAAACTGTTTTCAGTTTTAAGGAAATAGTGACCTAGACCTTTGACCTTGTGACCCCAAAATCAATAGGGGTCTGCTACTCAATATGGACAATTATCGTATGCAGTTTGAATATTGTGTGCCAAATGGAACTTAAGTTATGCACTGGAAACTGTTTTCAGTGTTAAGGTCATAGGGACCTTGTGAGCCCAAAATCAATATGGGTCTTCTTCCCATTATGGAAAATCATCTTATAAAGTTTGAATATTGTGTGCCATATGAAACTTAAATTATGCTCCGGAAACCAAATTGCTAACAGACGGACGGACGGACGGGCGAATGCCAGGGGGATATAACATAATATGCCCGAAATTCTTTCGGGCATATAAAAATGACAAAAGTATGTAAAGTTGATTTTTATACTTTAAATTCATTATTATGATATCACTGTTCTGTATTCCATGAATGATTACACGTACATTAATGTATTAAATATGTTTAAATAATAATACTCACCGAGCTTTTTGAGACCCAGGCTTTGTGCCTCCTGAAAGAAAATAAAATTAAGATTAATCTAAAAAGAATATCGAAATTTCTGTAAAACGTAATAACTGTGTTGTAAGGTGCTAGATACAAAAAGAATACATCACTCATTTTTTTATTTCTTTAAATAAAACAAACATGTTATATACTCTTAATTGTAAATAGACGGATAGATAGAAAATTTCAGATGCAGCATCTCTTAAAATGCAAACCAGTGCCCATTAAGCATAATAAGTCTCTAATTTCGTGAAATCAGACAATTAAACAGTCAATTATTTGTATACGCTGATGATAAAATTATTGTTTCTCCATTTGATGAAAATGTCAATAAAATGTTTAGCAACAAAGCCAGAGATTCTAAAATAGTTAGAAGTATAAAGCTGATGTTTGTGAATGTTTAAGTTTATGTCTTTTTGTTGAGGGTTCGCAAACTAATTTATGGGATATATCAAAACACATATAAAATAACAATAATTAAGATAATTAAGATCAACAAGGCAAAGGCAACGTTCACAGGACGCTGCCCCCGAAAACTTGGCTTTGAAGCCGAATGAAACCATTGTTTCACAACACAAAATTTTCGGCACTTTGGCATAATTTTAGTACTTTAATAACAACAAGTATCAAATTTAGATTTTTTAGACCCTGAAATTAAAAATGAGTTTAAATGGAATATGATATTGTATGTAATTGATTACGAAGTGAAACTAAACTGGATTCATGGGATGGGGTTCAATATGCAGTTGAAATATATTGTTTTAGACTCCTGAAATAAAAAAAAACAAAACAAAAAAACACAGGTGGAATGGATAAAATTGGATCAAATAATGATTTTTTTTTAATAAATGTGTGAACTAAAGTGCAATTATTGTATTATAGTAATGTCATATTCCAATTCTATGTACCTGGATAATGTGATATTCGGCCAATAGACTTGGATATCGTCGAAATATTATACAATAACTATAACACTATACAATCGGAAATAAAATCTTAATTTGGCAAATTAAAAAAACACCTGACAATTTCTTTTTGCACAAAATTGACACCCTTAGTAAGCGGAATAATGCCTGGACTTTTCGGGGAAAAGCTAGAGACGTTCACTTGTTTTCAGCATTTATATTCCTTTTAAAAGCTCGTGAATATTCTGTAGAATGCAAATATTATCCCTTTTTATTTCATTGCTGCATTTTTACAGAAAGGATGCTGATTTTATCTGGAATATGCACCGGTTGTAGTATTTTCAACATTGTGTTTGATTTGTCAGCTAGTGCCTGGTTAAAGCCATTTTTTAAATCACATCTTTAGAGTATTTTGGCTAATTGTTACCTGATGTAAGTAATTATGAAAATATTTTATTTCAAAGTATAAAAATGTAAACAAAGTAGTATTTTGACTTCCAGACAAAATACTCAACTTAATGTCAAATAAAAACATTAGAAAAAGATTGTATAGGTAATTGGCCATTAAGCAATTTTTATTTGAAAATACATGTATTAAAGTATAAATATTTTGAGAAATGAAATTAAAAGCCTCTCTGGGGCATAATGGGCCTTTAAAGGTAGCGCCAAGCTTTATAACGTATTGTGTTAATATCAGTATCAAATACGGTCATTATTTTTAGTATTATATTTAAAGATTGACATTTAGGCGCTTTATATACGAGAATATAAATATTCTAGTCCATTATTTTTAAAAAAAGATAACTTTCAAGAATATCAACCCGCGTGATATCCTACAGCAACAAATTAACCAAAAACAGTATTTTATAGAAGCTATCATGCTAAGTAGTGACTCACTCATTTTTTTTGCTCTTCGAATCATTATTAGAACAATTAATCCAACAAGGACGACCACAGTTGCAGCAACACACCCTCCAACGATAGCTGCTGTTTGTTTCTGGTTTTCTGAAACGTTAATTTCTTCATGTTATACATAACATAAATCATTGTATCTGCATAATTTGAAATTAACGCTACACACAAAAGCGTCTTACAACCAAATAAAATACTTAAATACGATATATTTTGTTAGTGAAAATTTGAACAAACCTGTTGGTTTAAAAACTTCAAATGTCTTTCCTAATTCGACTATGTCTGACTCTCCTTTTAAATTCTTTGAAATTAATCGGGCAGTGTATATACCAGGCTCAAGTCCATGAACTTCTGTAGAAAAATATGTATCGTTGATTTGATATTTTTCATCACTTTCCGAAATAAGTGTACGGTTTGTCCAAATATTTTTACCGGCTACAGAGGTCTGTATTATAAAACTTTGCTCAAGTCCGCCATTGAAGTTTTTCTCCCAGATAAACGAAGGAATGTTTTTTCCAGGTAAGTACTGAAATGATGTTGGTGACGATGGTTTACCTGTTACATAAATTATATAAATAAATTAATAACTTTGATTAATATAGAACTTTTTATGGTAACATTCTTATCATGATTTTGTTTGTTTTGTATCTTAAATATTCAAGTTTGACCTTCCTAAAGCAATATTCGCGTTTTGAAGAGTAATCAAACATTAACTTCATTGAAACTGATGGTAGTCGGTTAAAAACCCAGAATCTATTGTTCCCTTTCGTCCCTTGAACATTATCTATGTATGTAACAGATCCTCTTTAGAAAAAAAACACGTGTTTAATTATTAAATTATGATAGATATTTATTGGCTATATAATGCTTAATTTAATCTGAAAGTTTAATAACAAATACATGGTAAAAGTACTTAATATTTGACAAGGTCAAGCAATATACGAATGTTTCAAATGATTTAAAGGCTAAATACTTAATAATTATTGAGTTCTTTCGTATTCTGTCGTCGACAATTATTAAATTTTGATGAATCACAAAATTTTTAACGATTTCATTGGTTGTTTGGTGAGATTATGATGTTGTTTTAGAGCATTTCCCTACACATATCATGCGAAAACAAATCGAGTTTGCATAAACCCCTTTTTTATTTTGTTTTCAGTGCTCTCAATGGATGCCCGTAATGCAAATTGTTGCTAATTTTGAATTGTTTGTAATAGTTAAAATGTACCTTCTGCAATAATAGAGACAATAGCCTTGGTAGTGCCAATACTGTTTTTTAAATTCAGTGTGTAGTTGCCGAAGTCAATTTTTGTTAAGTCGTGTATCTCGAATTCGAATATACTACCGTTCAATAAAACATCTCTTCCATAGAACAACGATCGAACGATACCTTCAGAAACATATTTTTTATCAGATGAAAGGACATTCTGGTTATGTCGTAATAGAGTTACTTGGCTCAATGCAGGATAACTATATATCGATATTTCGATTCGTCCAACGCCTTCTGTAGAACCGGTAAATCTAAGGTCATCAGTCAGAATTTTAGGAAGCGCTGAAAAAAGTTGTCTAAACATATACATATCTGACATGAATCTTGAATGCTTAATCTAATTTAATTCCAGATTATGAAACATATCCTATTTCAGTACACAATGCTTTAGTCTTGAAAACTAAAAAAAACGCATTTTTAATTTCGAAATGCAGTCATTAATTAAATTCGAGGTGGTATAGATATGTCGGATCGTATATGTCACACGGGTGGGACATATTTGGCCGAATTTATCACAGCTGTCTGTATGTGCCATGTACGTTTCTGCAATTTGGTACTAAATGCCTGACCGTATATGTCACAAATTTTAATAATCATCGCCGTTTTTACCTATCTTCATCAACGTTAATAATACATCATCATCATCATAATCATCATTGTCATCATCATCAACAACAACAACAACACCATCATCATCATCATTCTCAACAAAACATCATTATCATCAATGATATATCATCATCCACACCGCCTTGCTTATCATTTTACCAGTAAGATGACTACTGTGTCAATACAAATCGACTGGCTTTGTCGCAAATATGAGCTTAATATTTTCGACATTAATATTTATTGGTTTGAAGATAAAATATCGTGGGGAGATTTTAACACGTTACTTGTCCATGCGCCTGTGCCTGTCTATGTGCGTCTGTCCGTCCCGGAATCTTAAGTGTTGCTTCATAAATTATTTAGTTATGGTCATGAAATTTTACATGAACGTTGGTCAGCATTATGTTATTGTGTATCTTTGGATTCGCTTGTCGATTTGAGCTGTCATGCCAGAGGTTTTGCCCTTGACTCAGTCAAATCGGAAATTGTAAACTATGTCGCGTGTTGCTTCAACAGTATTTGAACTAGGGGCATTGTCATGAAACTTACATGAATGTATGTCCACCTGAGGTTTATCTTGTCGATTACCTTAATAATGCCTTCACTTAGTACAAATTTGCAATTTATACATATTTCGCATGTATCTAAAACAGTATTTGAGCTCAGGTATTGAATCTTTATGTAGGTATTAAACAGGATATGAAGTTGTGTACATTGGGTTTCGCTTGTAAATTTCCCGCATTTATGCCAGATGTATTGCACTCTACTTAGTCGGAATCTGCATGTTGTTGAAAACACAATTATATATAGTGCCCTTAACTTTTATATTAATGTTTGTAAGAATATATATTGTTTTGCACGTGAGGTTTTTCACAGTAATGCCAGAAATGTTGTCTTTTACTAAGTTATAATCTAAAATTTTCACTTGTGTGGCTGACTAGCTAAAAGGTTTTTAAAGCGAACAAGAAAGCTTACAAGAATGTTGGTCAGCATATGTTGTTGTGCATCCGGGATTTCACTTATAGATTTGATAAACTAGTGCTGTCATAGTTATAGCCCTTGACTCATGGAATTTTGTATAAAAGATGGGTAGTTGGGGCATGTGTGTACTATGGTTTTAATAAGATTTATTGCCATGCTGAAGACAATTGTTTTGACTTTTTATGCCACCGCAGCATCTGCGATGCGGTGGCATATAGCGATTCACCTCTGTGTGTGTGTGCGTGCGTGCGTGCGTGTGTGTTGTATAGATTATATAGTGAATCTATATACATCTTTTTTTTCTGAAAAACCACTAGTCTTATTTCAACCAAACTTGGCATAATTGATCATTGGGTGAAGGGCTTCCATAGTTGTTCAAAGAATTGTATTCCATGCAAAAATCTGGATGCCATGGCAACCAAAAGGAATTATAAGAGTTAATTTTAAAAAATCTTCTTGTAAAGACCCACAAGGCCCAGAGGATAGATATTTTGCATAAGGCATTGTCTGTTAGACCTCTACCAAGATTGTTTGAATTATAGGTACTCTACCAAAGTTGTTCAAATTTTGCCTCTTGTGTCAACATTAGCCCCAGCCCCGGGAGTCATAGATTTTCCTTATATGTATATAGTAAAAACATAAAAAAATCATCTTCTCTAAATTGACAAAAGCTAGAGGTTAGATATTTTGCATGAAACATTGTGTAGTGAACCTCTAGAAATATTGTTCAAACTATAGCCCTGGGGTCAAAATTGGCCCCGTCTCGGGGGTCACTGATTTTCAGTTTTCCTTATATGTTTATAGTAAAAACTTAAATCTTCTTCTCTGAATTGACAGTGGCTAGAGGTTAGATATTTGGCATGATACTTTGTATAGTGAACCTCTACCAAGATTTTTTAAATTATAGCCCTGGTGTCAAAATTGGCTCCTCCCCGGGGTCCTTGATTTTCACTATGTACATATAGTGAAAAAATGAAAAATCTTCTTGTCTGAAGGACATGGCTTAGAGCTTTGATGTTTACTTATAATATCACCCATAGGTCCTCTATCAAAGTTGTTCAAATTTTGCCCCTGGTGTAAAAATTGGCCCTGCCTGGGGGCATTGATTTTCATTATGTAAACATAGTAGATACTGAAACTAAAACCAATGTTTTCTGAATTGGAAAAGCTACAGCTTAGATATTTGACATGAAATGTTGTTTGGTGGACCTATATCAAGATTGTTTGAATTAAACTCTTGGGTAAACATTTTGCCTTGCCCAAGGGGACAGTGACCTGCTTTCTTGTCCTTTGATGTACAGCCATGAAATTTGTGCACAGTTTTAGTTGTAAAATTGAACTTTGATATCAGGTGATCAATTTTTGATAATGCGCCCTTCTGTCTTGTCCTTTGATGTGCAGCTATGACATTTGAACTATGTGCACAGATTAAGATGTAAAGTGAACTTTGATATTAGCTGGCCTTAATTTTGACAAAGTGTCTGACAGTGATGTCCTTTAATGTACAGTCATGGAATTTTGGCCATGTGAAATATGACCTTCACCGCCAAATTAACTAGATTCAACTGCATTGATAGATTCATAGTCTGATTTTTAATTTGAATAACAATAGATTTAACCACTAATCTGATGATTAGATAGGTCAGTGATTTATGCATTTTGGCAATCTTCAATTGTATAGAATAAAAAAATCTGTTCCTTCATTACTATTTAGTGTTGTATTAATGCGGTGGAATAGCATTTTTCACAAATGCAATCTTGTTTAGGTAATAAATTTCATGATTTTATATTTCTGTTTTACAAACTCTCGTTAATTTATATTTTATAAATATCCAATATAATTAGCATATATTGTCGGACCTAGCCATTCACTGACAGCCTGTATGTCAATATGCACAAAATAGTGACAAATTCCAATGTCTTCAATAAAATTTATGCAAAATGATTTTTATATTTTTTAAACACAAAATCAATTTTTTAATCATGGAAAAAACGATTTTTGAACATTTTCATAAATTATTTTCTTTACTTGTAATTTTACAGTGGTGAGCATGAGAGGAGATAGTATCAATATCGTTCTGTTCACTCCACATTTATAACTTCTTATTCCTTAAACAATCAATCCATCAGGGTAATTTTCAAAATGATGATTGTATGCGTTGAAGTTATTTCGAACAAACTGTTTGACATATTTTAACATGCATTCTTACATTTGATTTTTACATGGTTGCAGCATATGTGCCATTAAAGCTCTAGCTGTCTTTCCTTGTGAATCACAGAGTATAGATGATACAATGATAAGGGGTAGTGGTGACCTAATTGCTAAGATGTTTGCCTCTCAACCAAAGGACTGTGGGTTTTAGCCAAACTCGGGTCATTACTATGATTCCTCATCTGACACCAGTACTGGTTAGTTCCAGGTATCGGCCTATAAAGTGATTAATATCGATTGAAAGAACGTGTTTTGCAATCGAGCATAAATAAGTATGTTTAAAGTAATAGTTGTAGATTTATTGAGGGCCCTGCAGTCGTTTTGTTCAGGCTGTAAGAAATATAAAAACAAACATATTTTAGTCCAAGACGAAAATATTGTCTTGTAAACAGAGATATTGAAGTACTCACGAAATATGTATTTCGCTTATTTGGTGAAATATTTGTTTATTATATACTGTTAAAAAATTCATTCGATGAAATATTTGTTGATTAGAGATCTACACTTTAATAAAAATCGGTGAAATATTTGTGAGGATGAGGTAAACAAGCGTAGTAAAAGACAAAAAATACGAACATTGGAACGACTGAAGTGACGCATGTTTGAACGCCGATCTGGCTGTTCTGGGATTTGAATCCACGCCCTACCGAAACTCTGTGTCCTTACTGGATATGAATTCTCTTGAGAAAGGAGATTCTGCATTAAGCATAATACCTTAATCAGGACGGGCTTAGACGTGGATTTTTTTTATATCCACGTCCTTACCTCGACTATGCTCGTCCTACAAATTCTCAGTGCGTCCTTATCACGACTTCAGTTTTAACTCCGTTCGTGCAGTACTGAAAACAACGAGCTTAGCGAGCATGAGATTGTATGTTTTGGACATGAACAACTAAGTATCTTGTTCTTACTATATCTTCATACAGTCGAAATATGTTTAACATGATAAAAAATATTTTTATAGTGCATTATGATTAGCCGATTGTTTCGTATGCACGACGTAGCGGTATAGGATCTAGTGCTACTTTTAATCACTATGGCATAAAGTTTAAGCTGTAAATGCTACTGCGGCTTATGATGATGATGATAAGGATGATGATGGTGATGATCAAGATGACGGTTGTGTTTACGATTCCGTCATTAGGTTATTTTATTTTTTTAATAAACGATATTGTGCATTAAATATACCCAAAACACATGTGATATATTCGTTTGTATTTTCATTTTTAAGCGCATGTTTGGTAAGTGACAAATACGTTTTGTTGAGCATTTAAAACTATATCAAACCGAATATGGCACATTTAATGTTCCATATTCGGCTGAAGAGAGTGCCATATTCAATCGAATATGTCACACGTGTGCCATATTCGGTCCGTGCCATATACGGTCATAAAGGTAAATGAACAAGCAATTTCTTTAACTATATTATTTACAATATCAAATTACAAAGTTCAGTTAGTACTATAATTTTTAAGATTCGATATAAAACACTTATGGGTAACGACGTGTAAATCATTTGCAAAAAAACAAAAACCACATATCTTACCCTCAACAAAAATCTCTTTTGAACCGGACTGGTTGATTTCTCCATTCTTATTTCTAATACCGTTTTTCAACATGCATGTGTAGAGTCCTGTGTCTTGAAATGATAACGACGAAAAATGGATTGTACTAAAACGATCTGTGCCATTTAATGCTGAATTTCTGTTAGGAATGTAACCTTGATTAAATGTTTGTGTGAAACTGATGTATGTGTTATTAGAAGGAACGCCATTTCCTTCGCAAAACAACGTCATTTCGTGTCCTTCCTTAATGTCTGTTACTGATGATCGTATTGTGACCGTTGGCGGATCTATAAATTATCAAAATTAAATATATATCAAACAACAATATGCTCAAGGGCAACTTTTCGAGCCTGCTATCACATCTGACCTTGAGGTATGACCTTGAGCTTTAACCTAGTCAAACCTATCTTGCGCATGACATGTTGAACATTTGAACATAATCCGGACGGTACATGTAATAAGACCTTGACCTTGAACATAACCACACGGTTCTTACATGCGACACGCCATCTCATGATGCTGATCACTTGTATCAGGTAATTTGAAATTACAACAGCTAGTGAAAGAGTTATGGTGCGGACAAGCTGTTTGAAACCAAATTTTTTCATTTGATATAAAAATATGACCTTGACCTTTGACACAGCCAATTGGTTCTTGCACGTGACACGTCCTCTGATAACTGTTAACATTTGTGCCATCTCCTTTGCAAAGCAAAGTCATTTAGTGTCCTTCCTTTATGTTTGTTACCGATGATCGTATTATGGCTATTTGTGGATAAATTAAATATATATAAAACCAATAGATACCCAAGGGCAACATGTCTAGTCCGCTGTCACATCTGACCTTCAGGTATGACCTTGAGCGTTGACCGAGTCAAACGGTTTTTGCGCGACATGCCGACTTATAATGTTGAACGTTGTACCCGATTATTTGAGATTCAACCAGCTAGTGATTTGGAAATGGTAGAGACAAGCTGTTTGAGTCCATAATAATTGTGCATTTGACCTAGTCACATGGAACTTGCGTGTGGAACTCCACCTCAAGATGTTAGATATTTGTGCAAGGTAAATTAAAATTCTGTCTACTAATGACAGAGTAACAATCCGGACAACAAAATTCGAACGGTAGTAAGACCTTGACCTTTGACCTTTCTTACGCCGACACATCTCATGATATTGAATATTTCAAATTCAAATTGTTTGGGACCATATTTTTGCAATTGAAATTAAAATATGACCTTGACCTTTTACAAGTCACATGGTTCTTGCGCGCGACAAGCAGCCCTCTTATAACTGTGAACATTTCTGCTAAGTCATTTAAATTCGGTCTATTAATGACAGAGCTACGTTCCGGACAAGCATATCCGGACTGACGGACGCAAGCATGCACATACACCAAACATCCATTGTGACCACTGTGTCGAGCATTCCGCATGGTGGATGAGAATCCATAAAGAAATGCCAATCAGTTTTATATTATGACAATCTATAAAATAATATGAAACAGGCATTTTGCTAATCGCCAAATATTTTCTAATTTCAAATATGCACCGTTAGAAAACTTCATTTTAATGTATGAATTCAAACCAATGCAGTTTTACTGATTTTTTTATTCTTAGAAAGCTTATATAACACAATGGGTGCATAATAAACATTTAAATCAACAACATCTAATCCTACTAAAGATACTTACAGTAAACAATTATTTTCACATTTTTTGAAACATATTTTATGTTTGGAGCGGCTGTATTTCTTATTGTACATTCGTAATCGCCTGCTACACTTCTGTTTACTTGATTAAATGATAACACGCCGTTAACACCTACTGATAAACCTATCGGTATATGTGTCCATTTGTAGGTACATCCAGGGTTACAAGTTGATGTGCATGTTATTTCCTTGCTCACTTCTCCTTCAGTTATATGGTATGGTGAATCAGCACTTATCATAGCGATATCAGGTCCATCTATGGCAGGATTAGATATAGTTATTTATGAAAATTTTGAATAAGTTATATCTACCAAAAACTGTAATATATGATATTATTATTTTATGGCCCCAAAAGCGCTCAGCTGAAGTTTAAAAATATTTAATTCATTTTCATTTTTACAAGATGTAAAATGCAAAAATATAGAAAAATTGTAAAAAAATACATTTGAAAGAAAAAGGGTTGTTCCACAAGTCCAAATAGCACTAGTAATTCGGTTCGGTTCGTCCCTAATATGAATGTGAAGAAATATTGATACTATAGATTACATTGAAATGACATTGAGAAATAAGTAGTAGGACAGGTTGTTTCCCTGTCTCCCATGTACTACAAATAACATAATACTAACAGATATTTCCACTGGTAGCGCTGCACAGTAGCTACGAGAAACCATTTATTAAGCCACGACGCACGATGGACGAAGCACGACGACGGACGATGGGGGATCACAATAGCTTACCATTAGCACGTGGTGCTAAGTTGAGCTTTAAACCAACTTTTGTTGATGGAACCTTTCTAATAAATTGCCTTACTAACTTATCTTAAATAATATCTTGATATCAATTTTCTTTACTTACAATAAACGTTAAACGAAAATATTTTACTCTCGTCCGATGAATATCCCAAATTTTCTTTCACTGAACAACGAAATCGACTATCAACATCAACCTTCACAATATTAGTTATTGTCATTTTATTCGATGCGTACGAATATCTTTCGTCTTCAGGCAAGTTTAAGCCGTTCATAATCCAGGTGTATGTCAAACTAAGGCTGTGATTGCTGGGTATCGTTGTTGATGTACTATTGCATGTGAATGTTGCATTCTCTCCCACAAATGGCATTTGCTTTAAAATTATATTTGGCTTTGAAGGGATCCCTATAAATGACAATAATTATTGTTAACATATCATGCCTTATAACAGTAATCATATACATGTACATTGTAATAATAGAGAAGAGCGATTAGCTAGTAAATAAGACTGATAATCTAGATTATACTTTAAGGAGTATGTTTCACTTTCTTCTTTCATGGTTATGGTATCACTTTGAAAAAAGTCGTCCCAGAATCTTTAATATTAACATTTTAAGAAGCAAAAATCGAAAAAAGAAGAGAAAAACTTAAAGCTATTTTCATTAAATTGATTTTAACATAAAAATGACGAAAAATATTGGAATTACCCTACCACGTGTTTTTGCATGTTAAAACATGGTCTTGCACATACTTTTGAAGAGAAAATTTTGCTTTGCGGCATTTTTTCTTTTTTTTTTTCAATTTACCCATTACTACATGAACATTTTGTGAAAAATGGCTGTTTTCATTGAAAAGCCTCTTGTTACAATTTAAAAATGCTATGAAATTATAAAAAAGGCTTCAATACTGTTTAAACTTGACAATAATTTTGACTTACCATAGTACCTTACCATTTGTAACGGCATACTCATTCTTAAATTTCCTGTTACCATGGCAACGGGGGACATCTCAAAATTGCCAAAAAAGCTATTTTGTGTTGTCTTTTCCATCAAAACTGATTTCAAAGTGCTTTTAACACCATTTCTCTAACAAGTGTTTGGGTCTAAATAGGGCATTTTTGTCACTATTTGAGGCATCAGGGGGGGGGGGAGGTGGGTGAAAAGGCTTGAAAAGACGTCTATATGAAGTAATGGTGAATGGAAAGTATGTAACTATCATTAACTTTTTAGTTGTTGTCTTACTGATATTGTTAGTTATTAATACTTGCTATTTGATAATCATATAATTTTATCGGAAGATCATAAAATATTTGTAATTGGGTGTCAAAAATGGAAATATGTGTATTTTGTGCTGAATATGTATTGAATTTTGAATGGCCAACATGACGACAATTGAATATGATAAAGGTTTATTTTGAATTACATGTATATAGACTTATTTTCAGGTTTGTTTTGCTTAGGATGTTGTGCAACAGAATTAAGTTATTTTTGATTGGAAACTGAGTTTTGTTACTGTAATAATTATGGTGTTTGAAACAGTTTACTTTCAATGGGAGTGATCGGTTGATCATTGTAGATTTGTCTAGTAAATCGAGTGTTCACAAAATAACTTTAAACCCCGCTGTCCCATCGTCCCTTATTTCGTAGCGAATTGATACCGAAAATTCAGAACGAAGTTCGCATTGTTAATTTTATTCGAGTAATTCTTTTTTCAATGTTTTAAAGGAACCAAACACCGAAAGCAAAACAAAATTGCATATAATATGTTTAATAAGCAACTTTCTATTCAGAAGTATACCTAAATAATTTGGTTCCGAAATCTCGACGAACACCTACCATTTGAGTTGCGACTAAAACGAATGCGCCGAGCATAAAGCCATTAAAGGGAATCCATTGAGGTTTCTTTACTTGACGGAACTGGAAATAACTTTTAGAGACTTTTGTTTCATTTTATGAATGTCTAAACCACTCACTTGCGTGTAAAATTTCAAATACTCCAAAATAATTATTCTAATTGTGAAACTGAAAGCCGCTACAACGCTTTTCACCCATGTTGTACTAAGAATAAAACAAACATACGATTTCAGTTCATTTCTGAGACCCTGTATTAATTATCTTCTGTATATCTTTCTGTTTAAGTGCCACAATTTATCTAAGTAAGAAGTTCAAATTATATATTTTTAGGCTTTAGGGACTCATTGGAGATTCTCTATCCCGAACCCGAAATTATTTGGCGAATCAGATTACATAATCTTGCGCCAGACTATTGCAAGTTTATTTCATGTCATAAGTGGTGATAGTTTGACACACTTCTCTTACTAATTTTGAAAGCGATAAATATTCACTCGCCATGCAAAGTTCATGAACGCATGACGGTTGCCTAATTTCGCAGTGTTAAAGCTAACTTCAAATCTGGTCTGTAGAATGTTTGCTACAATTATTGGCCTCACCCTTTGCAATAACTCATCAAATATGGCTTAAAAACACATATGTAGACGTTCTCAATTAACCATGTTAAAATGTTGAAATCTGCTTAATCCGGTGCTAGGGGCGTGGACAGTTGCTTGCACTATCTAGTAAGGTCCATTAATAGACTCAGTAAAACCGATCCGGCATTATTTTCAATTATACCGTTTTAAGTCCTTTTTGGATTTTATTTATTTCTTTTTAAGGCATGACATTGTAGAATGTTGTACTTTCTTCATTTTTGAGCTCCATCGTCAATATTTCGTATATTTCAAACTTGACAAAAGCGTGCCCATAGTTTTCATTTAAACCTTTTCCTCTTTGCAAACTTTTCATTTTGGTTTTTAGTGTTTTAGTGGTTTTTTATGTTCAGTGGAGAGGTGGGGCAAAATCCCCTTGATTGCAAGTTTTTTACAATCATATCTGGAAAGTAAATCCCTAGTTCATATTTGGGGGAAACCCATATGAAACGTATGTTGTTCAGTCAAATTTTAAAGGGTTATCTCCCTTTTTAAAATTGGCCCTATTTATCAAAAGCATGTTTCCAATTTAAAGTGAATGACTTTTAAAAGTTCTATCAAAATGGATTTTTACGAAAAGGTTAATCAACGCCGACGCCGACACTACGATAGGACATAACAATAGCTTTTTTTCGGAAAATGGAGCTAAATTCATTGAATAGTTAATGTATTTTTGTTGGTTCATTACAATCGAGAAATGGATATTATTATGAGGATCACAAAGACAAGAAATAAAATTAAAACTTAAAAGAACCTGAAATTTCAATTATCACTCCTAATCCTTGTACTGTTGCTTGAAAACCGATCAGTCACTATTTTTAAATCTCAAATATTAGTGATGATAGGCATATTTCACCCTACAGAAAAATAGTGTCAGTCCTTTTAAAATATATTTTAAATACATGCCAGTCTAAGCTGGCTTATAATAAGTTATCATACAATAATAAGTTATCATACAGTAATTGGAATATTGTTCACGGCGGCTTAGGCTGACTGTTGTGTATTAAACTTAAATAGCGTATTTTTCATTTTGTATTCTAAACATCTGACAATTTGCAGATCATACTAATCCTGTATTGAAGTTAAACACCATTAACTACTGTTATAATGCCATATGTTTTTTGGGACTTACTGAACCCGTTTGAAAGTTGTTGTAACTACTTTCATAAAAGAGATGTTCAAAAAGCATTGCTAGTATAATAAGTTGCATGAAGTTTATCCCATCACTTTTGCAGCTTTTCTGGATGGTCGACTTTAAAAGGCATTTAAATAAAGGGAGGTTATGAGAACACATTTTCTTATGCTTCTACTTCAATAAAAATGAAAAGAAATAATCATGCACTTATGGTTAAAAACTTTTCTGTCCTGTTATATATTAATAATTGAAATTAAATATGTTCTGGACAAGTAAACTGAATATAATTCTTCTCTAATTTTAAGATTATTTTTGATTATTTTAAAATTTTGATTACTTAAAACAAAATTGCATTCGAGCGTATATTGCCAAGCATGTGCGGTGATGGAGGTTTGTCGGTCTTAAACCTCCAGGTTTTCGACCAGATTTAATTCGACAAAAGTCTTTTAATAGAGAAGATTTTTGCTTGCACTTGATAAATTCTTTTTACCGAAATAAATTATTTACTTTGAAGGTATTTAGGATTTTTACACTTAAAAGGCTGGTCAAAGATATAGTTCATGTTTTAGGTCATGTTGTACCTTTCTACCACTAAATGCTTTGACCCTTTTAAGAAGTATGATAATTTCTTTAATGTTATTGTAATTTATTCTATGAATTTACCTGTTTATTACAATGACTAAAAGTATTAATATAACTCTGTAAATAAGAATGGAATGGAAAGGAACTGTTGTCTTAAATAGGGAGAGGACTATCTTTAGGTTGACGTCATAGAACGAGCTTGTGACGGGGAATATAAACATATGTTTGCTTAATTTCACAGAATATTTTAATATAAAAATGTTGCAATGGTAGTATAATTATATCTTGAACATAGAATTAAATTTGTAATTACCAGCTTGAAAAAAGCACGTCGATGTCCAGTACTCCTCAGGTCATAAACTATATTGTTTATCTTGAAAGTTTTTAATCTTCCTAAGAAGTACTGGATATCTTTCACATCTTTTAGAAACCCATGATTTTCACGAAAGCGATCTATTAAAGAATTGCGTTTTATTACAGACGCAAAACACGATACTTTAACGCTCTGACGAACATAGATGAACACTAAACATTTCTTGGGATAGCAGACGCACGCCTTTAAAAGCAAGGAAAACGATAAACGAAAAACGATACATGAAACAAAAGCTAGTAAAAACTCTGTACGTTTTGGAAACGCTTTTATCAAACAGACGTTGCACGATGAACGCACGCACGGTATATTAAGAAGGTGGACAATTTAAGTATTATAGACAACCGAAACGTTTTTCTCCCTGTTGTAACTGTATTTTTTGGACTTTGCAGTCTACTCTGTCGTTTCTAAGGCTAACCTGCCGGAAACATGAGATTATTTTTGTCAGCATTCACACTTGCAAATAGTTCAAATGGATTTACATTTACAGAATTACTACGCTAATGTTTACATTCAGCTTGCTGCTCTTTTGCTACTTTAGCTTAAATTTTACGGACGAATCGTTTACATCTCTTTCGCTCTTTTTTTAACCGGGGTTCGTAAAAACATGTCGCATGAGTTAGATGCCATAACTGAATGAAGCGAAAGGGGGTGGCCCAAGTGTGTAGTGCAGAGGGAAAGGGGAAAAAGGGTAAATGACGTGTGTCCTAGTATGGAGGCAGAACGGGGCAAACCCCCTTTTTCCCTACATTTTTGTTATGATTCCCGAACCCCCTTTTGTGCTTAAAACGAAAATTTTTAATGATTTGGTTAGATAACCCTGTTTTTTTGTCCCCTTAAAAGGCGCGAGCCCCCTCTTTTAACATTATCTAAAAAACAAACAATGAACTTTTGTAGGGGGATAAAAACCCGGGGCCTCCCCATTACAGACCGGGTTAAAAAATGACACATTTAAAAAACTGTTTTAATTATCCTCTTTGACGTCAAAGTTATTGTAGAAGTTAATATATGAACGTGTCATAACCCATGTTCTACTACAAACTCTTTATTAAAACCTGTAACATTGCAGGTAATAACTAGCATTTCAATATTTACTATGACTGTCAAATTGTCGTCCATTATGCATTATGTGTTTATGTTGCGAGTATTTTCATTAGCTGATGAAAAAAACGCTACCCGTCGCGGCTATACGCCGTCATTATCCGGATTGTTATTATTCATTAGCCAATGAAATTGACAGTCACTTAATAGAAGTTAATTGGGTTTACGCATAAAACATACGGGCACATTCAAAATGGAAGCCGCGGATAGAAATTATTAAAACAAACAAAAAATGTTACAATAATTCGTACCAGAAGTTATCATTGATGGTGGTAGATGATTGATATTTAACCGATTACATGATTAAACATTTTTATTT